AGCAGACGGTCCGCCATGTAGTGCCTGCAGCACACACGGCCCGGGCCGAGCCTCAGTGTGGGCACTCGGCATGGCCCGGCCTCCCGCTCCAGGACTCTAGCCTGCCCAGACCCCAGACTCCCAGGGCCCCGCGAGCTGGCGCTGCCTGTCATCCTGCCTCCCTGTGCCTCCCACTCCCTAGGTCCACACTCACTGGTAGTAATGCTCAAAGGTGGTGGCTATCTCTAGGCCAGAGAAAATGAGGACGGTCTCCAGGCATCGCTGCAGCTGCGCCAGCATCTCCATGCCCCGGGCCCCACCAATCCGGCTGCCCTGGATCCGCTGGTCAATGTGCTGGGCAAACTGCTCACTCACCTGGGCAGTGGGAAGAGCACAGGAAAAGCATGAACGAGCGAGTGGAGGTGAGTGGGAGCAGTGAGGAGGGTCTGAGGAAGTAGATATGAATGGCTTGAAGCGTCATAAATCAGTCAACACATTCATAAAACTTTTATAAAATCATTAACAATTGTGCAAATGAACAATAATGAAAAGTTTTTTCACATTGAGCATGTCTAAAAATCAAGTTAATCACAGTAATTTCATATGAGGAAATAAGCTAAATGCACAAAGATGGTCACATTGCAGTGTTACTAATAAAAGAGAATGACTGGAAGCAGCACAGGCAGCCACTGCCTCATACACCCACTGCAGTTTTCTGCTTACCAGGGAGTTTGTCACATTTTAGTTTATCTATCATTCGCTTAACTCTGTATCTTCCCTGGAAGACCATAAACTTTGAAGGGAGGGACTTCATCTATCTGCAGCTCTTATCACAGTGTCTGACACATTTTAACCACTTATTAAATATTTGTGAGTTGATGGGAATGGGGGAGTAAATTACAGTATATCCCTTAGATGGAATTTATGCACAAACAAAAAATGAGGACAAATAGCAACACTGAAAAAAGCTTTTAATTGTGATGACCAAAAAAACCAGGACAAGGAAGTGACCAGTTAGCTCAGTTGACTAGAGTGTGGTCCTGATAACACCAAGGTTGCTGGTCCGATCCCCACATGGGCCACTGTGAACTGTGCCCTCCTTAGAAGTCAACTATGCCATTGTAGCATGAAAGCAATGTGTAACCAATGACCATGGCTGTTTCCCAATAAAACAATTAAAAAAAAAAAGATAAAGCATTTTAGTGACTTGTAAGTAAACTATGTTAAATCATGCACATGAATAGAAGAAAGTATATCAAGATATATTAGGGGCCGGCCGAGTGGCGCGATGGTTAAGAACTCGCTTGGGATGCCAGAGGGCCCCGGTTCGGATCCCACATATGAGGGCCAGCAACATCCTCCACAACTAGATTGAAGAACAAAAAACGACAGCAACTTGTCTGTTCCCCTTTCCCCAATTCCCCAATAAAAATCTTTAAAAAAAAAATATGATGACTGTTTAAATTAAGAAAAAATTAAAAAAAAAAAAGATATATTAGGATGGCATGCTGAGGGTCACTGTTTTCTTTTTTTGAATTTTTGATAACATGATTATATACCAATACATGTTGCTTATTGAATGGAAATGGAAGGGTGGGCCATTTGGAGGAGAGGGGGGAGAGTGTGTGGGAAAAGGCCCAGGGGAGAGGCGAGGGTGGGAGGCTTACGTGGGCAGCTCTGAGAAAAGGGAGCTTCAGCAAGGCACCAGCACAGCCGTTCTGCAGCGCCAGCAAGAACGCTGCCCGTGGCCCAAACAGCTCAGAGCTCGACTTCTGCAGGTTATTAAAATGTTCACAGTAGCGTGGCACAAAGTCATCATCCCGCCAGTGTGAGGTCAGGAAACTGTTCACCTGGGGAGAAGGGGCAGCAGCGTGAAGAGGCAACCCAACACGCCACTGACCAGGTCCCCATGCCTGCCCCTGCCCACCTGCTCCTCCACTGCGGCCCGCCAACAGCGAGTCAGGTTTCTCATGATGCTGCTGGGAAGCCCCCGGGTAGCCAGAGAGCTCCAGTCATGGCTTCTGTTTCTGCCCTCTGTGGAGACAGACGGAGGGGGAAGAGGCAAGGCAAGGTGGGGGCAGCCTCTCAGCTTTTGGGTCCCCAATCAAGGGTGAGCCCTGGGGCCTTTCCTGACATGCTGCCACCCAAAACCATGCTCCTGGGATGGGGTGACATAAACTGGAAGATGAATAGACTGAGCGCATAGGGAAGATGAGGAAGGACAGACGCCTATAGCATGCCAGTGGGGACACATAGGGCAATGCCTCTAACCCGAGCTCCCACCTGAATCCCTGGTACTCACTGGGCCGAAGCGTGGTCACCACAGCAGGGGGCGCCTCGCAGGGCTCCACATGCACCAGCAGGTGGGTGAGGCGGCGCACTCTAGAGGAGAAAGCCGCCGCACGGCTTTGAGGGTTGTGGGCAGCCTCCCGACACTCCAGGTACTGGTCCAACAGCCAGCCCAGGGGGCTGACGCCATCCTCATCTAGAGGTCATGAAAAACAGGCCAAGGCAGGGCATGTCTCCAGGGCAGCGGGGGAGGCTGCCTGGACAGGAGTGTGGATCAAGAGCAGCTGGACAGAAGGACATGGGGAAGGGAGATAGCAAGTCCCCTCCTGATCTTACGGTGTCAGATGGCACCAGCGAGACATGGGAAAGGAGGCGGCCCCTGGGTTGTAAGAAGAGGGGCACGGGAGTTCCAAACAGACGCAGATACCAAAAGGGCCAAGAGCATAACCCAGGTGGCTCTAGGGCAGAGCAAGAAGAGGCTGGTCAGTGGAGCCAACAACAGGATGGTAAAGGGGACCAGGGGTCAGGATGGTTACCGGGGGAGGTGATGTTCTGCACCAGCGGGCTGACCAGGGCCTCCCAGCAGGTCTTGCCCAGGGCTTGGGCAGCTTCGTTGTCAGGGAGGAAGCGATCAGCAAAATTCTGCTCCTGGCGCAGAGCCCCGTTGAGCCTGGGGAATGAGGATGGGGTAGGAAGGTGTCAGGGGCTGAAGGCATAAGATACCTCAGCGTCCACCCAGACTAAGATTGTGAGCTAACCCCCAGCAACCAGACCAAATCCCGACTCGGTACACCCCTCTTAACTGGCACATCCCATTCCCAGCCCACCAGAGGAATCTCTTTATTCTTTCTTTCCCTCCCCAAACTGTAGGCCACTCCAGCCTCTCTCCAAGCATGTTAGCTCTCCATCTCACGCCCTCCATAGAACCCGCCCAGTGGCCATCTGTAATGCACACACACACACGCTCACACACACACCTAGAACTCAGATGCAGAAGGCTCCTACGGTCCTCTGCTATGTCCTGGCTCCAGGCCTGAGCCCGAACCATGTAGAAGAGACGTGTGTGACGACACAGCTGCTCCCGGAACACTGGCCAGAACGTGGGTTTAGGGCCCAGGACCTCCAGCCCCCGAATGCGTGTGTCGATGCCGCCCTGTAATATGCACAGGCCTACATTCACCTGGTCCACATGCTCCTCCAGGTGGGCTGGGCTCAGCCACATCCTCACGCTTCTCTCCTGGAGCTGCGCATGACCCAGGCTGAAGCTCTGGCCCACGATCTGCAAGTCACAGGCCCCAGAGCCCCATGCCTGGGAGCCACACCCCACCCCCCTGCTCAACCTGCTGGCAGCGCTTTATGCGGATCTGGACAACGGGCCAGAAGTGGTTCAGGTTCTCCAGGAGGGTCACCCGGCTGGCGGAGGGCATCACGTTGACCTGGTGGGGCAGAGAGGGCTGTCACCTCCATATCTGTGGATGAGAGTGCTGAGAGCACCCAAACCGGTTCTCTCCCTATGTCCCTTTGTTCCCTACCCCCGGGATGTGTGGGGGTCCTGAGGAAGAGGTCCTAATGCCACCCTCACTCTTTAGGGCCTGATGCTATCACCTAAGCACAGGGATATGGGGCACAAGACGGAGAAATTCAGGGTCTCAGGAGTCTGGGCAGCAGGGCAGATCCTGTGAGGGGTGGTCTAATGGCACAGGGGTCCCTACCGAGTTGAGTTCTGTGTTAAGAGAGCCAGTGCTGTCGCCCCCGAACACTACCACCCTGGCCGGCATGTAGCTCGAATCTTCACCAGCCACCAGCAGAGTCAGCTGCCTGGGAGCAGGGAAGGGGAACCAATTGGAACCGGAACCAGTCATGTCCTTGTAGACAGAGCCAAGGGGACCCTTTGGTCATATTCAGGGGCATGATGATTCCCTCAGACATACACAGGGAGGTCGAAAGTATGGGTGTGTGGCTAAGCATATGCATGGAGCGCCTTACCTGATGTGGACGCCTTGGCGCATGTGCAAGGTGATGTAGTGGGAGCCGGTACCGCCGTTGGACTCCCAGTAGGTCTTGGGGTTGCGGTCCGTCAGCTTGCTGGCCCGGTGCGGGTTGGAGGACACCTCCACCTTCTCCCAGCACTTGTCCTCTTTCACTTCTACACTGGAGCCTGGGGGCAAGTGGGAAGGGGTGGCTGTCACAGCCTGGCGGGGGTGGAGGAAAAACAGACGTAGGTGTGGAGACATGGAGTAATGTAGGGACAGGCACAAACCCTGGCACAGATATCTGAGGAACACGTCAAAGAAGGGAATGTTGATGGGTCGGTGGGTTCGTCTGTGGTCTTCGATCTGACCCAGGACCATCTACAGCCGGAACATCAGGGAGAAGGGCCGTGGGGAGGAGGGAGGAACACAGAAAAACACAGAAACACATATGGAGAAAGACCCAGCAGCAATGAGACTTCCTCCATAATACTGGCCAAGCAGGACCAGACGGGGCAGAGGGGCGGAGAACAAATGCCCCCAGGTTCACTAGACCCACCTGCCTTTCTCAGCTTCAGAAACACACCCCCTTCCCCTCCACCGCTTGCTTTCATGTTCTTACCCAGCTGTGAACTCACAAGCGACCCCTGCCCTCCCTCCTGACCTGGATACAGCCTCCCAGGATGTTGGTGGTAAGTTTCCGGTAGAGGTGGGCATGCTTCTCACACTTGAACACCATGTCCCGCAGCTCCTGAGCCAGCTCCAGCTTTCCCAGGTGCTTTTCCAGGGCCTTGGAGATGGCATCTCGGGCTCCCAGCTGATTCAGCACCACGGCATAGTCCCTGCTCACCGAGGCCAGGCGGTGCAGGAAGAAAATGAGTTCCTGGAGCACCTGGGACGGGGGAAGGGGAGGTGAATAAAGGGGGCAAGGCACAGGCCACAAGGGCATCTCCAGTAGTATTTACTGTATACGCAGTGTGTGCTGGGGCTACTGTAGTGAACAAGACAGAGTGGCAAGTAAAGTGTCAGGGATGGGGGAGGCACAAGGGCAGGGTAAAGTTAGTGAACCGAAGACAAACTGAAATGGAAACGCCAGGAGATGCCCCGCCCCCCTGGGGTTCTCAATTACTGATTATGTTGGCGATAGGTGCACAGAGCATCCCAGCTTGTTTCTTTGCAGGCCCAGCTGTCTCAAGAACCAGCTGTGGGGCTGCATTTTGAGTGCCTCAGGCCCTAAGCACAGACATCTGCCGGCAGAGAGGAGGCCGAGAGGAACTGGATGTGTGTATGCACACTTCGTTGAGGCCACTTCAGAAACTAAAATCTGGGTAACAGCCAGAGGTGTATACTGCAGACACCCACTGCCACCATGACTCTAGTTCTCTGACCCCTCCCCAAGCCTTCTGTGCCCAGAACGTCTCTGTGGCAGGGGACTCTAGGATGTGATGGTCCTCTCTGCCTCCTTCATCCCCCTGTCCCCATAGGCCCAGACAAATGAGGAGCCACCAAGGCTCTGAATGCAACATGGATACAACCTTTTGTGTAAAGAAGGAGATGGCAAATAAGATTATACATTTGATCATATGTTTGCATAAGGAAACACAAGGATACAAATTAATACAAGTGGTTACCACTAAGGGGCTTGGGGCAGGAGCACTGGGAGAACAGGGATTCTGGTGAGAGTGAAATTCTCAGTGTATACCTGCTTATATCATTTTGATTTGTGAATTGTGTGAATGTATTACCTATTTAAAAAATAAATAAAATTTAATCTTAGAAACGAAACCCAAACCAAGGGCACAAAGGCTCCATTGTGCCTTTCAGAGCCCCACCCAGGAGGTCTGCCCCATTCAGAGGCCTCCTTCGTCCTTGCCTCACATCTCCCCAGAGCAGGGTGGGGTACCTCTCGGTCAGTGTCTGAGCACCGCAGGCAGGCCATGCAGGCGTCCATGGCCTCATGCCAGGGGAGGAGCAGCGCCTCGGGGAAGTCCACCAGCCGCATGAGGATCCTGGAGAGCAGGGGGCAGGGGGAGAGAGAGATGCAGCCAGCCTCACAGACCCCTTTGCTCAACCCCGCCCTCACCACCCCCTCACCTCAGAACAGCCAGGTGCAGGGCCTTGTTGGCCACCGGAGTGTCAAGGCCCCGCATCAGCGCGAGGAAGGGCTGGGGTTGCCGCCGAAGCAGCAGCAGCAATGGCTTGACCTCGCTCTCCTGGGTCCCCTCTGAGCTGAAGGCTTGCTCCAGGTCCAGGACGATTTTCCCAGCTGGCCCATAACCCTCCACCAGACGCTGCAGGGGAGTGTTGGGGCACTGAGTCAGGGGCTCTTTTGCTACAGGATGGGGGAAGTCATAAGAGTTGGTCATTGTTAGTGATGTGAAGAATCAGAAAAGACCAGATTCATAACTCACAACCTAGTTTCCTGATTTCTCCTATAAATGCTTTTGACTTGTCCCCCTAAAAGTTATGTTTGGGGGATCTCAGAACATCTTTTAATGTACTTACAAGACAGCTTTGTGACAAATTTTACGTTTTTAAAATTGCAAAGGAGCTTCCTGTCTACCAACAGCAGAGCATTTCCCTATATCCAAAAGCATGCAATAACTTGTTTTTCCTTTAATAGAAAAAATTAAATGTGTGTGTGTGGCGGGGTAGCTTTTTAAGGCTTCAAATCTCTTGCTATTTTCTAACTTTACATCCTCCTTCATTCTTTGGAGGGAGCACTAGGTCTGCTGCCATTCATTGCTCATCTCTAGGTTTCAGTTTCTTCCTAAGGTGCCATATCTTCCAGATAGGATTGCACAAAAAATCAGCACAGACATCTGTCCTGGGCTCATGCCCTCCTAGAAGCCAGAGTGCAGAGCTGCTATGTCTGTTTGGCACCCCACCTTCCACTCTGGATGCATGTGCTGATTCCTGAGGCTTAGCCTGGGCTTCCAGCAGGGATGGGTAAGCCAGCTGCCCTGCCAGGGCCTCGGGCCCATATTTCCTGTAGACACGGCAGTTGAGCAGGTCCCTGAGAGAGCTGTCATCGAGTCGCTGTGGGAGAGCCAGCAGCAGATCCTGGGCCAACTCCATGGGCACGGCTAGCTCAGCCAGGATCTCGTCATCCAGAATCTGTCATCGGGGAGAAGCACTCACTGCAGGCAGCCCTGCCAGCACAGAGGCTCCAGGGGCACTTGCTAGGGGTGCCTTCTCCATCCTGAACCTCTCATGGCTGGCAGCCGGCTCCTCCCAAACAGCTTGCCGACACCTCTGAACATTCTGGACGCCCTCCCTTGCAGCTCTTTATACTCTCTACCTCCATGTCCCGTCCTTAGCCTTCCAAATGTTCTATTACAGTCCAGCCCTTGCAATGCAGCCCTCCAACTTCTGTGTGTCTCCAGGCCAGCGCTACCTCCCCATCTAGGTTCTCCTGGAGGATCTGGAGAACCTCCTGATGGTCAGGTCCATCGAGCTTCTTGATGAAGAACAGGAGCTCCCACCACTCGGCCTGGGTCAGGTGTTCACTCTCCTCAGCGTCCTCATCCTCAGGCAGCACATAGGGCACGGCGTAGAGCTCTGTCATGGGCTTCCATCGCCAGGAGGGCAGGGCTGTGGAAATGGGGCTCAGGGATGTCACGGCCCACCCCGCCAGACCACTGCTCCTATGCTCGAAGCTGCCCCCTGCTTCCTCACTGGGCTCACCTATAGCCTGTGCTCCACTGACCACAGGCTCCTGGTACCCATCCGCCTCAACCACGTCCTCAATGTCTTCCGCAAAGCCCAGAATCTCCAGCATGTGCCAGTGTACCCAATAGGTGCGGCCCGTTGATTCCCAAAGCACCTGGAAGACATGGAGAAAAAGACAGGGAAGGGTGATGGGCCGCCAGATGGCTCAGTTGGCTAGAGCACGTGCTTCTAACAACAAGGTTGCAGTTCCATTCCCGCATGGGATGGTGGGCTGCGCTCCCCCCACCCCCGCCCCACCCTGGCCCCCTCGAACTAGATTGAAAGCGACAACTGGACTTGGAGTTGAGCTGCGCCCTCCACAACTAAGACCGAAGGACAACAACTTGATTTGGAGCTGATGGGTCCTGGAAAAACACAATGTTCCCCTTCCCCAATTCCCCAATAAAATCTTTAAAAAAAAAAAAAAAACAAAGAAAGGGAAGGGTGGCCCAAAGATGACATATAGCCCTAGGTGACCCTAGGTGACCACCTGGCCAGGTTTGGAAAACCTCCAAATAGCAAAAACACTGGCATATGGAGAACACAAACACACATGCACAGGATGCCTTCCCCTTCTAGGACGAAGCTCTGCCTGTCCTCTCGCCTGTCCTTGATGTCTCACGCCCCTACACTTGCTCCTGGCCTCAGTCACTCTGCCTCCCTGACTCTGACCTTTGGGAAAGTCTTGCTGTATCAGTTTCTTCTGTGAAGAGTTTTCCTGACCTCATAGCCTCCTAAACCCAGATTTTTTTAGCCCTCCAAATGGCCCCCCTCTCAATTGCTGACGCCCCTTTAACTATTTCAATCCCCTTGGGAGTTTTCTCCTCGAGTGACCTGCCAGAGCCCCCTTCATGGAAACCCTACCCCAAAAGGATCCCCAACAGCCCTTTTCCCAGGAGGTTAGTACCGAGTCTGGAATGTGTGTTCGGGGCTCGGAACACACGTTTATTATTTAAAACCATCCCCCAAATCTAAGTAAGTCTTTTTAAAAAACTCAAAAATTTTTCCAAAAAAGACATCCCTCCCTCCCCGAGTGTGCCACCACCACACGCTCGCTCACCTGCACAGGGGGCACGCCATTGTTGCTCTGCCGGAACTCGCCCTCATCCCCAGCACTGATCTCCTCGTAGTCATCGAGCATGCGCACTCGCATGCCGGGCTGCAGCGTATCCCGCACATACAAAGCATAGGTGTTGCCACTTGCAAACTCAGGGCGAGGGCGAAACCGCCTTGACCTCCTGAGAGAGGGCTGGGCTTGCGTGGGTGGCAGCCCTGGGTCTGCATCTGCCGGCTGGGGCTGGAAGATGGAACAGGAGGCCCGAGCTGAGGGCCCCTGTCTGCTTGAGGCCCAGTCCCAGCGCATGGCCTGCACTAGCTCTGAGATCAGGGTGCCCATGGCCATGCTGAACTCCAGCTCCAGCCGACCCCTCTCCTCACTCAACTCCTCGGCAGCAGAGCTGTTCTGGGCTCCTAGTTCTGCAGCACTGTCATTCAGCTGATCCAGGAGGGAGGTGACATGCAAATAGCGCTTCACCAGGGAGAAGAGCAGCCTTCCTGGGACCTGCAGGACACAACCTTTAGCCTATGTCCACTTTGTCCCAGCTTTAGCCCCTCTCTCCACACCATCCTCTATGGACTAGTGCAAAGATCTGGTCTCTAGATCTTCACAGCCCCACCCCCAAGGCCCCTAACAGAATACCTGTGGCAGCTGAATGCCCTCGAAAGACATGGGGTGCTCAGAGAGCGTGGCCTGTGCAAACAGAGCAAGCAGAGCACAGCGGCTGTCAAAATCCAGGTGTTTCTCAATGGCCTCTTGCTGGCTCAGTGACAGAAGGATCTGGGTCCGGGTCCCTGTAACCCACACCCCAATCAGTAACTGCTCCCTAACCTCACCCTTCCCAGACATCTGTTTTAGACCCCCTACTCTCTCAGTTCAATCGTTGGGTCACGACACACTAGGAATGACATGATTTGCTTCAAAAGTCAAAACTTAACTATCTTTTTCATATACATGAACGAATACACACACATACATGTAATTAACATATATATATATATATATATATATATATATATATATATATATATATCACAACAGTCTAAAGTCTAAACTCTTCCTTTGTATAGAAAGCCAATTAAAATGAGGTTTTTGGGGCCGGCTGAGTGGCGCGATGGTTAAGAACTGGCTTGGGATGCCAGAGGGCCCCGGTTCAGATCCAACATATGAGGGCCAGTGACACTGCCCTCTACAGCTGAGATGTTGAACAACAGCTCAACCTGGAGCTGGGCTGCTGTGAGTCGCCGGTGACGGCGTAGGCTGCAGCCCCTGTGGCAGTGGGTTGCCATGGGCTACCGTGTGTGGCCAGCAGCCGCAGTGAGCGGCCGTCCAGAAGCCGGCGACTGATCTGCCTCGCCCGGGAAGAGCGCAATGATGGTGCCAACTTGGGCCAGTGAAGTAACGTCCTCCACAATTAGACTGAAGAACAAAACGACAGCAACTTGTCTGTTGTCCTTCCCCAACTCCCCAGCACTGTTCCCAACCCCCCAATTCCCCAATAAAAATATTAAAAAAAAAAAAGAGGTTTTTGGGGATTCAGTCTCTCCTCTTTCAGCAGAGGTGACAACACCTACTGTCCCACCTTCTTTTCTTCCAACTCTAAAAGGGCAGCAGAATCATTTACAGACTGACGAGATCAGAGGTTGCTGCTGCAGCAACTGATAAGGCCGAGCCCACCCAGCGCCTATCCGCTCCCCCTTCCTCCCCACACTGCTCCTCACCAGCATCATGGGAGGCCAGGGCTTGTATCATCCTGCCTGCGCTCCATCGAATCTGGTAATCAGGACTACTCAACATGTGCATAAGCAAGTCCAGGACTCTTGGGTCTTTGAAGACTTCAGTGAGGGGCTCGATGCTGGCGTAGGCGCTGAGCACGTGGACAGTGTGAAGCAGAGGAGCAGGAGGGATGGTGCCCACACACTCTTCCAGCTGCCGAAGGGCCCTCTGAATCAGGGACTTCACATCGGTTTCCATCTCCCCTAGCACAGATTTGTCCAGGGCCCCGGCTTCCCCTGCAGTCTCCTGGGAAGGCCCGATAACCTGGCCATCCTCGCCCAGCATCTTGTGGCAGTTGGCATAGATCTCATCATTGGACATCCACAGCAGGATGTGCTCAGCCTTGCAGTCCACCTGGCTAGAGCCCCCTTCCCCATCCTCCCCACGCCTGAGGATGAGCCAGCGGATCTGGTACTCAGGATGCCCATCGTGGCCCACCCGCTGTCGGATCAGCTCATCAGGATAGGCATGCAAGCCAGGCCCCAGGGGCACTCTGAATTCCCTGTAGCGGAGTTCCCCCACCATTCTGGCACCTGGGACACACAAGGAAAAGAGAACAGGTAAGCTGGAGTGAGAAGGGAGGTCAGAAAATCAAGGACATCCAGGAGTGGAGGAGCAAATGTGGCACCAGCTATTGGGCTGGGTGGGGGAAAGCAGGGCCCAGGAGTTGCCTGCTGCAGGCTGGGTGGGGCCAGGCCTAAGCAGAGGAACACTGGGGTGTTTGTTCTGAGACAACACAAAATTTGGGGGCTAAAAAGAGGGTCCAAGGCCCTGCAGCCTGAAGTGGGCTGGTTTGGAGCAGTGGGAAGGGGACAGTGGGGGCAGAGGAGCCTTGGAGTTACAAGCAAATCCCTGGGACAGGGGGCAGCAGCCCTGGGAAGGGGGTATGAGCAGCCCAGAGCCGGTGGTGTGTTGCGGGGAGCTGGAGAGCGACTCCCGGGTGTATGGGAAGGGGTACTAGCTCCAATGCATGAAGCACAGGAGGAGTGTGAGTCGAAAATGAAAGAGACACAGAGAAGTGGTAGTGGAGTGAGGACGCAAGGCGCGATGGGCTGGGAGGGGCTGGTGGGCTGCAGGCGCTGATGACTGAAGGCACTGGAGCAGCAAGGCCGGTGGGGACGATGCGAGGCCTGGGACAGGGTGCGTAAGAGATCTGGTGCGTGAGGGGCGCAAGGCTTGGTGGACCCGGGTCGCGGACCCAAGAAGTCGGGGTGGGAGGTACGGGGATGGGGACGCGCGCGGCAAGATTGGGATGGGTGGCTGGGCCGGATAAATGAGAATCCCGAGGCACTGTGGAATGAGGGGACAAGGTCGGGTGTGGAGTGAGGCTTGGTGGGCTAGTGGGTGGAGGAAAACCCAGGGTAGGGGCAGGGGGCCGCGGCGGGGCTCTGGCCACCTTAGAAGTCGATGGGGGTCCTGGAGCGAGGCCTGTCCTTCGCTGAGCTAGGGACGCAGCGCAGACGATGGCGGCGAAGCTGGCGGAGATTTGGGCCCCGCCTGGGCCCCCGAAGGGGGTCGAGGCGTAGAAGCAGGAGGGGGCGTGCCTCTCCAGGACAGGCAGGCGGGCAAGGGGCGTGGCGCGCAGGGACCAAGCGCCCTAGGGCCGGGCCACTTGACAGCGCCCTCGCGCGCTGGTTGCGGCCGCAGGGGCAGGGAAGGGCGGGGCTGCTCCAGCCCGCAGCGCCGCCCGCCCTACTCTGGGGGCTCCCACGCCCGTCGGGAGCCGCGGCTCATTTCCGCCGGGCCCAGCGGAAAGCTAGGGGCCCTGGGAGAGCGCCGGGGCGGAGCCAGGGGTGCCACCTCGGCGCTGCGCGGCACCTCCTCCGCACCTCCCTTTCCTCTTCCTTTTGGTCTTCCCTCCTGCCACCGGAAGTGCCTTCCCCGTTTCCTAAGTCAGAACTGGAAAAGACTTTGGAGGTCATTTATGCCACCCTCCTCCATTACCTATAAAGGAACTGAGAGAAGGTGGACAGCTGGAAATTGGGCGGTTGCAGCCCTAGTCTTCGCCCCATATTGCCCTTTCCTTTTCTCCTAACCCCACATTTGTTTGCTCCCGTTTTCCCAGGTCCAGTATGTACCATCTCCCCTCCCCCCAAAAAACAGTAACATAAAAATGGGGGGTCACTTTATTAGTCAATTTTATCAGCTTTGGGCAGCAGCTGAGGGCAGCTTCACGTAACTCTTCATGGGGGGCAGCGGCCGAATCTTTCGGCCAGCCCAGCCCCCCTTGCGGTGCCATAACCCGCTGGAAGGCCTCTTGCCCAGCCAGCGGTTCCGTCCAGCCTTGCCGATGACCCGTTTGTTATGATCAATGTTGGATACTCGGCCTACTGTTGCTATACACGTTTCCAGCACCTGACAGAGAAAGCAGATGGAGGAGAATGCACCGTTGGGGGAAAGAGCCTGACAATGTTGACGGCAGGACTCTTGGGAGGGTTCTTGCAGAGAGAAGGAAGAGGACAGGAGAAAAGCACAACAGAAGTGAACCCAAGGTCAGGGCCTACAAGAGTTGAAAATGAAAGACACTGTTCCCTATTCTATTATGGTCCCAGCCTGATGAGGCATGCCTAGTCATGTAGCAGAAAAGGACAGACCCAGGCTGGGGGCAGTTCCTAATATAAAACACCTGGGAGCTATCCTGGCCAGCCAGGAAAGGTGCATTCTGAAAATTCCTTTTTTGCTGATCCCTCCCACCTGTACCCCCCACACACACCTGCATCTGCCTCTTAGATGGCAGCTGGATGATGGCTGTCCCATTCACCTTCCGTAGCAGCACACCACATGTCCCTGTGGAAGGGAGAAGCCGCAGCTTTGCCATCCACAATAAAGGAGGAGGTGGGGAACAGATTTACAGGAGGCCACACCCCATATGCTGCCCCTGCCTTGCTCTTTAGGAGCAGATACAGTGAAGCAGGATACATGCGGTGTTTTAGGTCAAAACATCAGCTTCTCTTCATTTTCATTTTCCTTGTTTTTTTCCTTCTTTTTCTCTGCCAGTGGACCAGATGTGGATCCATGGGTTCAGAGACTTGTGACCTCAGGTAACCCTTAGCCTTCCAAATTGTAAGGCTCTAAGCAGCTCCTTTCCTCCTACCTGCTGCACGAATATACTGGGCCCCGCGGCCTGGCTCACTCTCCACGTTGTTGATGAGGGTCCCCACGGGCAAGGCCCCAAGAGGATGTGCATCCCCTTCCCGAGGAGCAACTAAAAGACAGAATTTTATCAGCACCAGAAGAACACCTGCAGCTTATCAACCCACACACATCTGGCGGCCATCACTCACTTGCCATTCGACCTATGTGGTCAGAGTTCAGGATTGTATCTCCAACCTGCATGTTTTCTGTGGCAATGATCCAGCGTTTCCGGCTGCCCCCAGCGACCAGAGCTATGTCTGCTGACCTGTTCAGGGTGATGGACAGGTGAACAGACATCGTCAGAAAAGCCACAGAGCAATCATTCGGCCATGCCATCGTCATTCCACACCCCTAACTTGCCTACAGGGATCATAGCGGACAGCGATGACCTTCTCCTCAAAGGGTCCTGGCTTGGTTTCCTGCTCAGGCCGGAACCGAAGAAAGTCAATCATGCGATAACGTTGCTTGTGGCCCCCGCCAATACCATGCACCTGGATTCGGCCTGTGGTCAGGACAGTGAGGGTACATGACCCAGGTCAGCCGAACAGGCCTGTCCTGGGCAGAGAGAGCAGTCTCCCAACATTATGACACAAGCAGAAAATGATAAAAATTTGCATAGCACGATGGGGTAAATGGGAATGGGGAAACACTTACATGGACCTTGGTAAAAACATAATTCTATGATTATTGAAACTGCATAAGATTTCCAAATAAATTCTCTACAAATTACTGAATTCAGTAAGTTTACTGAGGGCCCTGTATATAGTGCTCAATTTCAACTATTAAAAAATTTTGAAAGGTATGAAGAAAAATGTCATGAAACTTGCTGTGTGTGTCCAGTTTTCTTCAATTACCTAGATTGTCTCTAGGAGCACAGACCACTTGTCTGTTGCTTTGTATTCTAGTCTCTCGCTCTTACACACACTACATGCAGAAGGAGTATTTTAATTACATTCCTCTGCCTCTATCAATATACAGGCCTAGGGTCCTACCATGTTTTTTTCCTTTACTGCTTAAATCCTTTTACCCTTGCTCCTACCTGTGTGGCCTCGGCCCCCAGACTTCCTCATCTTCACTGGTGTAATGGTGTACTTGGTACGACTCTTCCAGGACACAAACTTGGCACTAAGGGTCACAGAGGTAAGGATGGGGCGGCAGGGGAGCAACATTGAGGCAGAGGGCAGCTGAAGGAGGACACAGTTTGTCACCTAGAGAGATAAACAGAAATCCTTCACCTGAAAGCTAATTGAAAGAGAAACATTAGAGAACCAAGGGAGAGGGCAGAGACCAAGTTTAGATTGTAGCCCACTCACTTCCTCCTGGAAGTGTCCCAAACCAACTCAGACCAGCTGTCCAAAAACTCCACCCTTCCCAGCTTGCACAAATACCAGTATGGAATGTTTTTCCAGGTGTATATGTGTTGACTACCTCTCCTCATTTGATCCGTTCACCTCTGATGTATTGGGTCGTTGGGGAAATCATGACGTATTTTTGTTTTTCAATGCAAAAATGCATCATGACTTTCCCGACGACCCAATATTTCTTCAATGGAAAGTTCTCCTCTGGTGCCATCTACTAAATTTGGCTTAAAACTCTCCTCCAGGAAACTTTTCCTCCCTTAAAGAACTTTCTTTTCCAGAGCTGATCACTTCCACATATCCGTGTACCACCATCAGCACCAAAGAGCTTTGCTCGTTTGCATTATGTTTCTGGGAGTTTTTCAGATATGAAGGGAGGGGAGGAATCATTTCTGTCTTGTTCCTTGTATTCCCCGAATTTCACAGAGTAGGTTTTGAATTTTAAGTATGCATCTGCGAAACTCTATCATCAGCCTGAGAGGTCCAGAAAAGCAAGACTTACAACTTCTTTTCTGTGCCTCACCAATCACCCACTAGGGATCTTGTGATACCGTGTTTCCCTGAAAATAAGATGGGGTCTCATATTAATTTTTGCTCTAAAGGATGCATTTTATTCATTTATTCATGTACAAAAATCTACATTTATTCAAATACAGTCATGTCTGGCTGATGGTCTTAACTGGGGTTTATTTTGGGGTAGGACTTATATTACAAGCACTCTGAAAATCATGCTAGGGCTTATTTTCGGGGAAACACAGTATGTTCACCTCAGGCTCCTATTCTTGGTATCTTGCCCTGTGTTCTCTAATCTCAGCATCCTTAATGGTTATAATGGTTAAGAGCTCCAGCTTTGAAGCCAGACTGCCTAGCTCCAACAGTGGCATGACCTTAGACTGCTTATCAGTTTTCTCATATGTAAAATGGGACTGATAATAACTATCTTATAGAGTGGATGAAAAGAGTTCAGTTGTTCAAAACCTCTATTACTTATGCCTGGCTTACGATAGATACCCAACAAATGTCAATTATTACTGAAACCTGTATAACCGGTGGTCTGTAAAGCGTCCAATATTTCGTCTGAGGGGTCCAGCCGCCCTGTGTACTTAACACTCGCAGGGAAAGCTGAGGCTGAGTGATTATCCAAGGTCACGGGCCGGTGTGACTCCTGACCAGGCTCCCATACCTGCCTCCTATCTCCGGTTGTCTCCTCTCTGAGGCCCGTAAGGAAGCAGCCTTATTCCCGGGTAAAGTGGATTACCTGGGCGCCCGGGAGCAGGCTTGGGCCGGGGGCGGTGGCCGGGGGCGCCAGGCTCAGGGAGCCCAGAGCGCGGGTCAGCGCCCGCAGAGCCATGAGGGCGGCTTGCTCCGCTCCGCTCAGCACGCCACCATTGCCTCTAGGCAGGTCGCCTGACGCTCCAGGATGACGCTAACGACTCCTGGTTCCGTCGCCCCCACCTAACGTAAAAGAGGCGGGGGGGGGGGAGTATCGGAGACCACGTCGGATACACACCTCCTTCCCGCCCTGCGCGTTGTCAGAACCAATCCTTGGGCGGCTCTTAGGTCGCGTGACTGGGGAACGGGCCCCGCCTCTCGGAGCCGTCAAAACAATTGCCTCGAGCGGCAGCCATGATGGATTTAAAGGGGCAGTACCGGCAGGGCGGCAGCCAGACCGACAGACTGCGGGTGAGTCTTTGAGAGTACCTCTGGGGCTGAGGGTTGAGGTCCCGCTACCTTTTATTCCCGCAATCTCGGACAGATGAACAAACCCCCTCCGATCGACCTCACACAACTCCAGACTAAAAAACTCCGCCCCCCCGCGATTCTTCCCGCCCCTCGGTGTCCAGACAGACAGACAGCCGGCCTGCCCCGCCCCCTGCGCTGCCAACTGACTCATGCACCTTGGGATCGTCGGCTCGCTGGGTCCTCGCCTGCGACGCGGACCTCGGTCGTCCACCTGCACTTTTCCCCGTCGCCCCCGCCCATCTCAGGCTATCCCCTCCCTGGGCCCAAGGGCAGGTCGACAGCCTGGGACACTCCTCACCCGCATTCCAAGGCCCGGGAGACCAACTCCCAGCGCCGCTTTTCCCTGTGACCCTGCAGCGTCTCAGCAGACCTGCCATTCTTCCCTGCATCATCAGGCGTCTGGGAGGCACCCTAAGGTGACTCTCTGAGCCTGTTAGTGGGTGAACGTAACTGAGACAAAGCCACGGAAGTGACTGAGCCTGGAGTGACCTGGTCTTCCTCCTCACCCTTAACCAGACACGCCCCTTGCCGCAGGTCTCAGATCAAGTCTCACTCCCTCGGGAGAAAATAGCTCCTCAGGCCTGGGTGAGAGGTTGGCTTGGGGAAGGAGGGACGTTGGTCGTCTTTGAAGAACTGCAGGCAGGGTGAGGTAGGGTGTTTGTCCTGAATGAGGCTCTGTGCCAGGTCTACTGGGTGGCTGTGAAGTGGTGAGAGAAGGGGTGGGAATGCAGAACTTCTGGACTTTGAGCAGGGCAGCTCCTTCTGAGTCCCTGGCTACTGAACAGCTTCTTCCGGGCTCTGGCCTGAGTGCCACAGCCAAGGGCTCTGCTCTGTAAACAGGTAAGGACTTCAAAGATGAGAAACGAGGCCCTTTTGAGGAAGTAGGACGACAGCGTGAGGCCGGGAGGATGGGAAATTTGGGCTGAAGTCTAGTGCGGAAGGAGGTAGGGCTGCCCAGGTTTGGAGATGCTGAGCTTAGCTCTGTGGGTGACGCAGCCCGAAGACCTTGAGCCTTTTGGAGCCTTCTCATCTGTGTCCTGCCATGAAGACTCCTGTTTTCTTCTCTCCTTTATGTTCTGTAATTTAACTTTGGAACTCATTCCTTCCCTTTTTTTTGAAACCTCTGCACTGTTGTCTGCACATCTGTCTGCTTTAACCTGGTTCCCTTTGCAGCTCTCCCCAAACACCCTCGGTGTTCCCTGTCGTGCTATCTCTCATCTCCTGATTCCTTTTCGAATCCAAGTTCTCTTCCAACTTTTCTGTTCTGTTCCTAAGTTCTAAATCCCTTTAGTTCTCAGGACTTTTGTTCCTTCTATCTTTCATTCAAGGTAATTCCTGTCCCTCTCTCTTTCCCACAACCTTAGCTTGTATTTAGTGTTGTAGGCTCCCCCCTCACTGGTTACTACTCCGTCTCTCCAATTAAAACACAGGGTCACCCCTACTCTCTCTTGTCCCTTCACTCGGATCCCCACCACCTTCTAGCCTGTCTTTCTTATTTTTACCCCGACCTGAGCTCTATTGTTTCTCCCTAGCCCCGGCAAGGTCCCCCGGGCCAGGATGTCGGGCCTGGTGTTGGGGCAGCGGGATGAACCTGCAGGGCACCGACTCAGCCAGGAAGAGATCCTGGGGAGCACTCGGCTGGTGAGCCAAGGGCTGGAGGCCCTACACATTGAACACCAAGCTGTGCTGCAAAGCCTGTCCCATACCATTGAGTGTCTGCAGCAGGGAGGCCATGAAGAAGGGCTGGTGCATGAGAAAGCCCGGCAGCTGCGCCGTTCCATGGAAAACATTGAGCTGGGGCTGAGTGAGGCCCAGGTGAGAGGGAAGAGGTGGTGCCCATAGACGAGCAGTTGTTTGATTGGAGGTTTGGGGTTACTTGGGATCTCCTTGTCCTAGATGCTTACATTCCTTTATGCGTTCAGTAAATATATATTAAGCCCCTACTATGTGCCAGGCACTACTCTTCCAGGCACTAGAGATACATCACTGAACACAACAGTAAAAAATCCTTGCCATCTTGAAGCTTATGTTCTAGCTGGGGGAGGCAGACAACACACAGTCAGAAAAGCAAATGATTCAATATTTCAGAGTGATAATTGCTAAGGATCAAAATAAAGCAGGGAAGGGGATTAGGGAGTATGGAGAGAGGAAATGATTTTAGATAGGGTGGTCAAAAAAGGCTTCACTGAAGTGGCAACATTTGAGCAAAGGTTTGAAGATATGAGAATGAGTCGTACAATAAATGGGGGAAGAGCACCCTAACCAGAGTGGACAGCAAGTGCAGAGGTCCTGAGCTGGAGCCTTCCCAATGAGTTCAGTGAAGGGCCAGTGTGGCTGCAGTAGAGTGAATGAGGGGAAGCAAAATAGAGAATGAAGTTCAAGAGCTAATGGGATTGGGGAAGAGGGGGACAGATCGTGCGGACTTTGCTTTTACTTTGAGTGATATGGACGCTGTTGGAATGTTTTGAGGTGAGGAGTGATGTGGTCTAACAACATTTTAAAAGGGTCGTCTGGCTGCTGGGTTGAGAAGAGACTCTAAGGGAACAAGGGCAGAAAGAGGGAGGCCAGTGAGGAAGCTGTTGTGGTAATCTAAGTAGGAACTGATGGTGGCTTGGCCCAGAATGGCGACTATGGAGCTGGTGAGACGTAGGATTCAGGGTGTCTTTTGAAGGTAGAGCCATTGCTCCTCAGCCCCATTTCCTGGCTCCCGCTAGTCTTGCGTCTCCCAGTAGGCTCCCCTCCTGCCTTTCCCTGAACACTCCCAGCCAGAGTCTGGTGCTCAGAGGATGTCTGGTGCATCTAGGTGATGCTGGCTCTGGCCAGCCACCTGAGCACAGTGGAGTCGGAGAAACAGAAGCTGCGGGCTCAGGTCCGGCGGCTGTGCCAGGAGAACCAGTGGCTCCGGGATGAGCTTGCAGGTACCCAGCAGCGGCTACAGCTCAGCGAGCAGGCTGTGGCACAGCTGGAGGAGGAAAAGAAGCACCTGGAGTTCCTGGGGCAGCTGCGGCAGTACGATGAGGATGGGCACACCGCGGTAAGCATGCACAGGCGAGGCTGGCTGGGGGGGTGGACAGCTGGGAGTCACCACAAACATGGGACAATTGCTCCATCATCCGCAGGGGCCAGTAGTGCTGCCCAGCCTGCCCCCACCTGGCAGAATTCAGGTCCTGACCCCAACTCCAGATGAAAGCAAGGGGAAAACAATATTCACTTGTTCAATCAACATTTAATGAAATGACTATTCCATATGCCAGGCATTGTGTACTCCGCTGGGGACGCAACAGTGAAAAAGGCAGACAGAGTTCCTGTTCTCACAATTATAGGTTTGTTGAAGGGGAGACAGAGAAGCACCAACCAATTCTAATCCAGAATCCTATGTGCTGCAGTTAGGGAAAGCATACCAGTTGAGCAAGACCCTCCTAAAATTGGCTCTCAAGATGTGTGAAATTTAACCCTCACTCAACAGGCATGTCCATATCTCTGTGCTTTAAGTAGTTCAGGAAGATGTGTGTAGGGCACATGTGAAGAAAAAAAAAGAGAGTGCCTGCTTTTTTACCTTATACTGCAGCTGCAGGGACAAGGCGTACCCATGAGAATACATACCTGACAATACAAAGCAGCAGGTGCTCAGTGTTGAGTGAGGGGTTCAGTCACTGGGGGAAGAATTCCAAGGAGCTATGTTCCTGGGGGCTGGAATGTTCTGAAAGATTCACAGAAGAGGTGGGGTATAAGTATGGGTAAGATTTAGGTTGGATTTTTTTTTTATTTGAATGGATTAGGAGTTGGGATGGATTTTGATGGATGATGAGGAAGAGGGTCAGCTTTCTAGACGAGAGAGGAGTTAGGGTGGGTNTGGGTGGGTGGGGGACAGCATAGGTAAAGCTCCAGGGCTGGGAAGCTGGTCTATCCCTGAGAAAGTGGGATGATGTGCATGCAACACATTGGCAAAGCTGGGCAGGAGGATTGGAGGTGTTTGTACAGAGCTGCAACGCCTGGTGGGCACAGCAAATTTGCCCAATGTGGAAGTAGGTTAGACAGTGAGGGCCAGACACTAAGTCCAGCGTGAGCAGTGGCAGGTGATGGGCACAAGGCTGAGATAGACACTTGGGTACGTGTCAGTAAGATCAGACACGCTCCCTGCCCTCAGGAGAGACAGGACAGACATATAATCAGCATAAACATGCAGGGTTATAATTATACGAGTTGAGGGGGAGAGAGGTGGAGGCTGGAGAATGAAGGTGCTTAGGAAGGAAACTCAATGGAAGGGAAAGTCATGAGATTTACAAACAGGAGAGGCCTGAGCTTGGTGAGACAGATACTGGGGGCAGGCCTGTAAACAAGGGTCTTCTCCTGGGCCCCACCTGTCAAGGATTTTATGGTTTAGAGGGGCCCTGAAGTGGTTACTGGGGATATCTTGGCCCAGATGTCCTGCTGCTTCTTTCTAGGAGGAGAAGGAGGGCGATGCCACCAAGGATTCCCTGGATGATCTCTTCCCCAACGAGGAGGAAGAAGACGCCAGCAATGGCTGTGAGTCTATCTCTGGAGTTGGACAGTGAAGAGGGGCAGCAGGAGGGCTGGCCGAGTGGCTCAGTTGGTTAAGAGCTCGCTCAAGAGTGTGAGCTCTGAGCAACAGCGGTTCGATTCCCCGCCCGACCTGAGCAGCCTCCAAGCTGCCAACAGGTGGCAGGATGGCTCAGCTAAAAAAAAAATAATGCAGAAGAGGGGTAGCAGGAGTCTGGTCCCAGCTGTGGGCCCCCCCCCGCCCCGAACACACTCACACTCACACACACACACACACACACACACACACACACACACACGACGCTCACCACCCAGAAATAGGTTCTCCACTTCCTCTGGAGATGGGGCAGAGGTTAGACTAGTACTTTGATTTCCTCAGCCTCCCCCTTAGTCCTCAACATATTTTTTTTCTTTTTGATTTTGATTTAAAATTTATTTTGGAGACCTTTCCTTATCAATTCATAAAGAGTTTCTTCTTCTTTTTTTAACATCTGAATGATATTACATTGTGTGGATGTAACCATTTATTTAACCAGGGCTTTATTAATGGTTACTGGACTCTTTCCATTTGTTTCCTATCCTGAACAATACCTTCATCAACATTTATTAAACACTTAATGCATGCCAGGTACTGTGCCAGGCACTAGCAGTACCGAGATGAGAACGACATGGGTCTTGCGAGTAAAGAGTTCACAGTTGAGTGGGAGAATGACTCTGGAGTGGCAGAGCATGAGCTCCCTGAGGGAAAGAACCAGGTCTTTCTTATCTTTGTATCCCTGGCACAGCCCCTGGCCCATGTTCATTGAGTAAATGTAGAGTGAATACATTGCTGCACAAACAGATGGGATTGTGCTGGGTACAGGTGCAAGCGAGTGGGCAAAGGAACAGCAATTGAGGCAGGTCTCCAGAGAGAGAGATTGGTGGGGGGTGGGGGGGCAGGTGCAGGCATGGAGCAGGGGTGTGGAGGGCAGGCAGCAAAGGAGAGAGGAGAAGTACTCTGAGGAAGTCTTAATTGTCTGGGATGGTTTAGTATCACGTGGCCAGGGCGCCCAGCACAGCGGATATGAGATCCCAGCGAGGTTACGGACACTGCACAACTTGGTGATCCAGTATGCAGCCCAGGGTCGCTATGAGGTGGCTGTGCCACTCTGCAAGCAGGCACTGGAGGACCTGGAGCGCACATCTGGCCGCGGCCACCCTGATGTCGCCACCATGCTCAACATCCTTGCTTTGGTGTATAGGTGAGTACTGCCCTCCTTTTTGCCACATACCTGTCTCCGGATTTCCACCTTGACCCGCCTTTGGCTCCCATTCCTCCTCTCCACCAGGTACCTCTTCTCCCAGCTGGGCCTCCCAGGTGTATGCCACTAGGGGGCTTTCTCTGGTACCAGAACTCTCGTTCTTTCCATACCTGAGCCCTTGACCTCAGAACAGACTCACTTCTCAGGCTTTCCCAGTCTTTTTCCTGGGGAGGGTCTCTTTCTCTCTCTTTCTGTCTCTTGCGTCCAATAACGTGTGGCCTCCTCTGGGCATGGCATTGTTCTGCATCCAGTATGGCTGTGTTCGTGAATCCCGCTCACTGCTCACACCAGGCTTCCTGTCTCCTCACCGGGGTCCCCTAAATGTATCTCAGTCATCCCAAAGGAAAGGAGGGAAGGACATGGCTTGGGGGTAGACTTCAGGGTAAACCCTTGTCACTTTTATCCTCTTCCAGGGACCAGAATAAGTATAAGGAAGCTGCCCACCTGCTGAATGATGCCCTCAGCATCCGGGAGAGCACCCTGGGCCGGGACCACCCTGCTGTCAGTATTCCTTGCCCCGCTTGCCCCATGCTCTTTGGCCTCTCTCAGCTCATCTACCCGCTGCCCTCCGCCTAGTCACTGGGGATGCTCAGGCAGGAGGCACGCGGACTCCTTCCTCCAGGCACTGTCCGCTGAGCCCAGTGGTTCTCCACTCTGAGACCCAATGACTCCTTATAATGAACATTTCTCTGAAACTTAATTCATAGATAATCTAACCTACCTATACATATAATTTCCAAAAAGCTGAAAGATACCCTATTAATATAAAAGAGAAACAAGGAAAGTAACTTATAGTAAAATAATATATATAATACATTAAAATACCATAAAAATACAATATAATAACAGTTGTAGTATTGAGTGCAACTATGCTAGCAGACATGATATAGTAGTCTGACATATAATGAATAACTTTAGATTTAGAACAAGTAAGACCAGTAAGCCAGAAATACTAAAAAAAAATGACAGAGCAGAATACAAAATTAAAATCCAGTGTTAGAATCGGTAATGAGAGACCAAATTTATTTGTATATGATAAGAAAAAGAGAAATAAGTAAGGATAGCACGCCAAGACAAACGACAGACTGTCAAAGTAGAGAAAATGAGAAATAAGGTATTTTTGAAAATGAGCTAACTGTGTGAAAATAATTCCCTATGTTATGACATGTGATAGGCAGGGATGATGTATCTCAAGGAAACATAACTCCTGTCTTAATATCCTACCAAGTATCAAAGCTGACATTCAGTGTTTGAATGTCTGGCAGGACATTCAAAACTTGCCAGAGCTGTCCCCCCCAGGCAGAACATCTGTAGCATCTTTGCCTCCCCAAAGGTAACAGTGCCCCCAGTTTTCATGGTAACCAAAAAATGTTTTAAAATGCCCCTAGAGGGCGATACCGCCCCCGTGGAGAACCTCAGAGCCACCCAGTTCCGCAGTTAGTTTCCCCTTGCCTGCCTCTGGCTAGGGTGGCAGAGGCCATTTCTCTTGGGGTTGTGCAGCGCGGGGGAGCACCTCCAAGTCTCAAGGTGTTTGAAAGCACCAGCATCAGAGGGGACGGGCCTGTCTTCCTAGGTGGCTGCCACGCTGAACAATCTGGCTGTGCTCTATGGCAAAAGGGGCAAATACAAGGAGGCGGAGCCACTGTGCCAGCGGGCACTGGAGATCCGAGAAAAGGTACCGAGGCCTGCTTCCCCTTCTTCCCTGCTCCTGTGACCCCTCCTCCACCATCTCTCTCCTGGCTTATGCTTTTCCCTCACTTCTTTGTTTCTCATCCCCTCCTCTCTGCCTGGTTCCCTCTTCCGTCCTTCCCTTTCCTCTGCTCCCTGCAGGCGTATGTGCATAGGTGCGCGTGCATGGGTGCACACACAGCTGTGTGCACACACATACACACATACTTACAGCCACCTATCCCTCCTCTGCTCCCCTTTAGGTCCTGGGCACTGATCACCCAGATGTGGCAAAGCAGCTGAACAACCTGGCCCTGTTGTGCCAAAATCAGGGCAAATATGAGGCCGTGGAACGCTATTACCGGCGGGCCTTGGCCATCTATGAGGGACAGCTGGGGCCGGACAACCCTAACGTAGCCCGGACCAAGAACAACCTGGTAAGGGAAGAAGGGGCAAAGCAAAGTCGGTGGAAGGAGGGGAAGAGAAAGCATCATGGTCGGGTACATGAACCCCAATGCCTCTGTGCCCGTCTCTGGGGCTACCTTTGGGGCTGAGGGATTTGCTTCACTTCAGTGGGAAGGCAGAAATTCCATAGCCTCTTGAGAGTGGAGTGAGAACCCTCTTGACCCTGCAGCTAGAAAAGGGGGTATGAGGAAGATCTCTGGGGAAAGTCATGAAGAGACCAAGAAGCGGAAACCCCTGAGCCTGGCCGAGACCTTGTCTCCATGCCTTGCTCCTGTGCTCCTGTGTTTTTGCCTTCCTTCTCCCCAGGCTTCCTGTTACCTGAAACAGAGCAAGTATGCTGAGGCTGAGACGCTCTACAAAGAGATCTTGACTCGTGCCCACGTGCAAGAGTTTGGGTCCGTGGATGGTAAGCGGTGAGGGCCTGGAGAGGGAGCTGCAGGGAGGAAAAGAAATACAGACTAAAGGTGGGGGGCTAGGCTACAGTGGTTTCCTGGGGGAGCCAGATCCCTTTAGTCAAGCCCTGTGGGCCTCTGGGTCCCGGCTCCCCCCATATTGTCCAGCTGAGTTCTCTAACCTTGCCACTCCATCCCATGTATCACCCCCAGATGACCACAAGCCTATCTGGATGCATGCAGAAGAGCGGGAGGAAATGAGCAAAGTGAGTGGGGGGTGCAGCCTGGGGAGCCTAAGCCTCTCAGGGCCTTTGTTGTACTCCTTGCACTAGCCCAGCTCCTCAATTCCCACCCAAGCACCAGCCCCAGATGCACGGTGACTTCCCTAGCCCAGCCTGTACCCTAGCCCAGTGTCACCTTGTGCCCCAGCATCTCTGTACTCTCATCTTTGGCGTCCCCTCCCCCTCTGTCCTTCTGCAGAGCCAGCAACGAGAGGGTGGCACACCCTACGCTGAGTATGGAGGCTGGTACAAGGCCTGCAAAGTGAGCAGGTGAGCTGCCAGCGAGAAGCTGGCTTGGCCCCTGATGCCCCCATCCACGCCCTGATCCTGGCCTCCTGATCCTTTTCCCTTCATTCCTTTGACCTTCCCTCAGCCTTAGCTCTGCTCCGTCTCTCTTCTGTTTCTTTTCTGAAGCCATCCTCACTTCCTTCTCTGTTCTCACTCCCCTCAGCCCCACAGTGAACACTACTCTGAGGAACTTAGGAGCTCTGTACAGGCGCCAGGGAAAGCTGGAGGCAGCTGAGACCCTGGAGGAATGTGCCCTGCGTTCCCGGAAACAGGTCAGAGACCAGGAAGGGAAGTGGGTCTGGAAGGTAGGGCCCTGGGAACAGGGGACCACTGAGGCTTCTTGTGAGTCTCCCCCCGAAGGAGGAGGGGCTAAGGAGGAAGACCTGGAGAGGAAGGTGAGACACTCTTGTGGTTGTGGTTGTTGTGTGTTCTTAGCCCCACCTGCTATTTGTGGTCAGGACTCCAAGTTCAAGGTTCACTAAATGGGACTATTAAGAGGGAAGCCCTGCCCTTTCACAATTTGAAGAATCTACTGAGGGTGGTGTGGGTGAGGGGGTTGAGGTTGAGGGGAGCCCTATGTGAGAGTTTCTCAGATTGTGGGTTGTAGCTCATTAAGCAGGTTGTGAAATCAATTTAGTGTGGGACATGGTTAAAAATATATGTGATCTATATGTAGGAATGCATTGCAAATAGAAAAGGTGAGTATCGTTCCAGTATGTGTATATTGGTACATCACAGAGAAAAATGCCTTCCTGTGGCTGATGGTGAAAGAAAGCTTGAAAGCCCCATCCTGAGGAGTCGAGGAGTGGGATGTCCCAGCCTCTTCCCTTTCTTTCCAGGGCACTAACCCTATCAGCCAGACCAAGGTGGCCGAGCTGCTTGGGGAGGGTGACAGTGGAAGGACCTCCCAGGAAGGTCCTGGGAGCAGCGTGAAATTTGAAGGAGGTGAAGAGGCCTCTGTGGCAGTGGAGTGGTCAGGGGTGAGTCTGATTATTGCCCCTTGATCTCCCCTGCTCCCTCCTGCAGGTGGCAGTGAGAGGCTTGGAGCCTGTCCTTGTAGGATATGAGAACATGCTGTCCTCACGCCAATTCAGTTAGCCCATCACTCTCAGGGGTATCTCTGTGAGCCAGCCGGCAACAGGACTCTTGTCTTTAGTCACTGGGCTTTTGGGGGAGGGTGTGTGTGTGCAGAATAAACGTCAGGAATCGACTCAGAAGCCAGTCTGCATGGGATCCCCTTAGCCTGTTCCCCATCCCTCTCCACCAGGATGGCAGTGGGGCCCTGCAGAGGAGTAGCTCTCTGGGGAAGATCCGGGATGTGCTTCGTAGAAGCAGTGAACTCCTGGTGAGAAAGCTCCAGGGAACCGAGCCTCGGTCCTCCAGGTACACAGTGAGACTGAGATGTGGCAAAGCGGGCGAGTAAGCCCTGGCCTCCAACTCCCCTTGGCTCCTCAACTCTGGAGGAGAAGTGTCTTGGAGAGAAAATCATGGAGGAGGTCAATGGGATGGTCATGGAGAGAGTTCGGGAAAAGTGCATGCCCCCGTTGGGGGGAAAGATGCCTGAGAAGATGCTATTAACCAATGAAAATAAGAATGTGTGTGTGTGTGTATGTGTCTGTGTGTCTGTGTGTGTTGGGGGACAGAGTCGGATGGTGAGGAGGCAGTAATTTGATTTTGCACGGCAGGCCCACGACTTTAGGGCCACTCAAGGGAAGAGAAGGAGCCTCAATTCTCTCTTTTCCATTGTAGCAGCAACATGAAGCGGGCAGCCTCCTTAAACTATCTGAACCAACCCAATGCAGCACCCCTCCAGGTGAGAGCAGTGCTCATGAGCATAGTGGTGGGTGAGAAAGGACAGCCATGGAGCAAGCCCAGCTGGAGTTGGGGAAGAGGGCAGTCACTGCCTGGGATGAAGACTCTAACTAGGGAATTAGAGCTGGCAGATGGAATCAGGCAGACAGCTTGTTGGGGGTGGTGACTGTGAAGGGACAGTTTCAGGCTAGAGATAGTAGCAAATAAATTAATCAGGAAGGGGACAGGAATTGATGTTCTCTAAACTGGTACTTTGGAATTAGGAATAATTCAAGAAAGATTTGGGTATTCTAATTGCTTTTCCTCCTGCAGCTACCATACACCCCACCTTGGGGACTCAGTAGCAAAGGAGAAGGGAAAAAGAAAAAAGTATTCCATCATCTCTATTTGAGAAAACAGTGATGATATTTTAATGGGAAATGACCACTTGTATCAACACATTCAAAGTATATGCCAATATTCATGTGGCTCTTCCAGGTATTTTCTCCACCAGACTGTGGGCTTCTGGAAAATCCTAGCAAAGTCTAAACAAAGCCCCAGCGCTTGGGGTTGAGGCTACAGACTCCATCCTACGTCCAGAGATAGATTGCAACCATGAGATGGATAGACTCCAGGGGACAGTCTTTGGGAGGCTGATGGCATATGTTGTCTGTTTCAGGTCTCCCGGGGCCTCAGTGCCAGTACTATGGACCTCTCTTCAAGCAGCTGACATTCAAACGGCCCCCCAAGTGTGCTGGGTCCCCCCACAGTCCTCACAGCATTCCCTATTGCTCCTGGCTCTTCCAGCCCCAAGGCGGGACAGTGAAGGGGGAGCAGTTAACCAGAAGATTGCTGCTGCCCTTAGGGTCTCAGCTCCCTCCTCAGGAATTCCTCCTCCAGAAGGCCTCAGGACAGCTTCTCCCCACCCTGTGGTCCTCTAGAGTAGTAGTTCTGAGGCCCCCAAGGTGGGTAGGGAGCAGGCATGCACCTCAGAGATGCAGCCTGCTACTGGCTTTTCTGTCAGAGGGTTTGGGGCTGGCCAAATAAGCTGCCTTGCCCTAGCCTCTCTTGTTCCCTCTGCTGCCTCACTTCAGGTCCACATATTTCACTTTCTTAAATAAAAGAATCAGGTAACCATTCTGCCACTTGAGTCCTGATTGAAGAGGGTAGGAAGCAGGGGTTGTGTTGGGGCCCTTCACAGAAGGGTGAGGGGCAGTGATGGATGGGGCAACAGGAGGCGTGTTGACTCTTGGATCGCTCCTCTCTTCCTTCCCATGTTTGTATCCTCTCCAACGGGGCCTGCAGGAAGGCATCTGGGGGATGGGGGAGGAGGCCCACAACCCAAGGAGAAGGTGCTGTGGACTGGGTTGTCAGGGCCATGTGGTGGCCATGTGGCAGGACCCTGGAGTCCTGGCGCCACTGCGCCCAGCCTGTGAGGCCCTCTGTGGCTGCCCCTCCTCCTCCCAGCTGCTTGGGGGAAGGGAGGTATGAGCAGCCCTGGGGGGCCCTCCGGAGCCAGAGGGGGACGAGGCACTCACTATCCATCCCCTCTCAGCATATCCTGGAGGCCTGAGCAGCAGCTGGGGCCCATCTTCTAAAGCTTGACTCCTCCTGACCCGCCTCCTACACCCCTTGCTGCTTTCACAACAAAGAAAGAATGTGGGGGTGGTGGCGCTGGGGGTGGGGGTGCCTGGAACAAGGGCTGTGCTGGGCCTCCCCACAGCTGGAGACTTGGCCATGCCCTGACACAGCCCAGACTGCCTGGAGATGGACTTGGGATGAATTTGTCAGTTTAACAGCCTTCAGCCGGGCGTTCGGAGCCCAGTCTGTTTCTACCTTTGGGTTCAGATTGGTCCAAAGCCAAACCAGACCCCAGCCATGCACTGGTCCCTCACTTCTCCAGGCTACATCTGTCCTGGGGGTCCACGGTATTTCCAGGTCACCTTGCTTGGGGGACACCAAGGACACCCTTCTGTTCTAGGCCTCCCTCAGGATTTCAGGTTGCTGAGAACTGAGCCAGAGTCCACCTTTTCCCCTCCCACCTGGAGAATTTGGGGGAATTGTTGGTCAGAAGCCCCAGGAAGGCCCAGAACTGACCATCCTCCCCAGGGGCCACGGAATCACAAGAGTCACTTTGGTTCCCCTGGGTCCCTGCAGGTTAGGCGGTAGGCACAACCTACCTACACTACCTTGCTCAGGTCCCCCACACTCCCCGGAGCCTCCCTCTGTCCAGGATCCATCTTCAGACCCCTCCCCCAACTGTGAGCTCCTCCCCGCCACGGCGGGGAGGGGGCGTCGCGGGGGCGGGGCTCCGCGCAGCGGCCGGCGGGGAGGGGGCGTCGTGGGGCGGGGCTTGGCGGCGGCGGCGGCGGCGGCGCGCAAGGACTCGGAGGTACCGGGTGCGCGCGGCTCCGGCTAGGGACGCCTCAGGCTCCGGCTGCAGCTGCTTGCGGCGGCGCCCGCGCTCCGGTGCGCTCGGCCTCTTGGGGCCCGCCGCGGAGCGCAATCTGCGCGCCCGCCGTGCGCCCGCCGGCTCCCTTCCCCGAGCCAGCAGTGATGGGAGCTGTGCGGCGACCCCCGAACAGCCCCCGCCGGCTGCCTCTGCTCGGCGTCCTGCTGCTGCCGCTGCTGGGCGGTGAGTCCCGCGGAGCTGGGGGACCTGGGGGAGCGGGGCTCGGGAGCGCGGGAGCCTCGCGGGCACAAGGGGACACCGGGGAGGTGGGCTCGGGAGGCTGAGAGGGGAAGACACCCTGGAGTAGTGGCGAGGTGGGCTGGGGGTGCGCGGTCCCGGCGGCTGGGAGGTGGCGAAGCCCTCGCGGACTCGGTCGGGGCCCCTCTCCCACCCACACCCTCGAGGACGCGTTTCCAGCCTCTACAGAGTTTTCCCAGCCTGAGCAGAGAGTTTTGCTCGGGAGCTGCCGGGAATTGCCGGCGCCCGGGCCCTGGTGGGGAGTTGCTTTCCAGGAGAGAAAGGACTAACCCCCACCCCCACTTATGGGGGGTGCAGTGAGGTGGCCGGCGGTGGGGGAGACCGAGTCCCCCCCCGCGGGCTCATCCCAGGTGAGGGAGGCCGACCTGGGGCCGGATGCTGGACCGACCTGAGGCACTCGGTGCGCGGAGCTTTGTTACCTACGCCGGCCGGACGCTCCCGGCTTCCCTCTTCCAAGTTCCTGGGCCAGGCTGGGACCCCTGATGGCCCTGCTGGTGAGGGCGGAAGAAGGGAAGAATTAGGGGCCGCCCCATCTTCTCTAGCTCCTGGGCCCGAGCCCACTCTCTGCTAGGGTCGAATCTGGGGAACGGAATCCCAGGCTGTCGGCGGTGACTAATGTGTGAAGGCCGCTGCCAAAATCGGGCATGGCTGGCCTGCAAAGGTGTGGACTGGGCTTATTCTGCTCCTTCCTGGATTTCCATCCTGTGCCTCCTCACTGAGGAAAGAAAACCTTACTTTTTACGGGCAGTTCATTCTGCCTTTTCTTGGAGGGCCTTAGCGTTTTGATGAGGGTGTGGCCTGAACCTCCAGGATAGATAGGACCCCCACCCCTTGCCGCCTTTATTTCCTGACTTGGTCACACCTGAGAGTCACCACTGAGGTGTGAAGTGCTTTAAAGGAAAGAACCAAGCTAACCTCACGACATGGCCTGGAAATATAACCCTCACCCCCCCCCCCCAAAAAAAAAAAACCCCAAAAACCAAAACCCCGCAAAAATCTTTGATGATGATTATGGCAGTAGCCCTCTCTGGGGGAACCCTGCCTAGGGGACATTGGTCCTAGTTTATCACTTTCCTCCTTAAAAGAGTAGCCATGGGGAGGATGGGGGTGCCTTGTCTGACATCTCCCTGGCCTGCCAGCTGTTGAGGGGTTTTGGTGCTGATGGAATCAACCTCTCCCCCACCCCTAGTTGTAAAAGGAGAGGTAACTGTAACCCAGGACTCCGAGGTAAGAACAGGCCCCAGGGATTTGTAGGAGGTGTTTCTGGAGCTGCCCTGTGTTCCTTGTGATGTGTGTGGTGGTTATTGCTCATGGCAGAACCCACATCTGCTCCCAGAGGAAGTAATGGAAGTTTTTTTGCACAGCCAGGATTGGGGCCCAGCCATATGGGCGAGCAGCCTGAGTTCACAGGCTTCCTAGGTCTGCCGGCTGTTTGGGTTTTGGTGTTCGGGTCGCCCACTCTGGCTGCATTCACTGCTGATGTTTCGAGCTCTGGAGGCAAGGGGAAATTCTGGTGGAGACGGAGCTCTTGTTCAACAAATGCTAAATTCCTTCCATGAGAAGATGACTCTGATGTTAATTGATGTTAATCTGGCGATTTAGCTGAGGAGGAGGCTCCTGGGTGGGGGTGGGGGGGAGTTAGTGCAAGCCAGAGGGCTTGGGACTGGAGGTCTGGAATCTCCTCTGAGGGTGGGGAAGTGTCTTGGGCTCAACAAAGGAACATTTTAATGAGAGCCTTAAATCAGTCCCACCAAATGTGCTTTGGTGTGGAACCTGTTCATGTGCTTGAACAATTTCAGCCGAGTTTGAGGCGCCTGCTGTCTTCTAGTGAAATCTGGGGACTCAACCCACCCCCAGCCGGCATGACTTCAGGGGGCAACGATTTTAAAATAGATTCAGTGGATTTTTCCATCTCATTGTTTGTGTAATTAACTGGAGTTGTAGTGAGACCCTGCTGTTAATAAGCCTGGAGGAAGAGACCTTAGGCTGGTTAGCTAGGTTTGTGGATTAGACCATTTTGAAGTTTGGGTAATTATACTGTAAATGGCTGAGCAACTTTCCAAACTTTGAGATCCCTGTTGTGATAAATATGATGGTGGAGGAGAGGGTGAAACCTGGGATTCTGAGCCCTAACCGTTTGAATGGTCAGCTGTGGTCACTCCCCATCCCTGTTCTCATACCTCTCTCTGGGTTCTTTCTTCCAGACTCTTGTTTGTTTGGGGAAATAAAGTTGTCACGTCCTGAGAGAGGCTGTTCTGCAGATTCCTTGAGGCTCTGCAGCCTGTAATTCAGGCCTAGGAGTTGTTGGCTTTTATCAGTGATGGGCTTTCTCAGATGTTGGGAAGTACAGTGGGAGGGCAGGGGTAATCTCTGCACATCGCTCGCCAAAGGATCTAGTCAAACTCCTGGCAGTTCAGAGCACGGTTGAGTGGTGGAGATGAAGTGTTTGGCAAAACAGCAACTCCAACCCTTTGACAGGCCCTGTGCGGCCTTGGGCAAATTTCTTGACCTCACAGTTGGCCTCCTCTGTAAAGGAACTTACTTCCTGGAGTTGTGCTGAGGATTAACATGCAATGAAGGGCCCCTTTCTTATCCTTTCCTCTCCTGTGGTGTGCTTCCAACATACCTTTCTAGCTTTCCAGTCATCCCCAACAAGAAACATTTTCCACCTATTGGAACCCTCCGTTCCAGCCCAACTAGTTTCTTTCCCATCCCCTAAGACATATGTGGTTTCTCAGGCCTTTGTTTCCTCTCTGGCCAGTACCCCTGTAGGTACTGCCTCCCCATCTCTCTTTTGCCCAGCCCCACCTCCTCTTCTCCCTCAAAGCTGTCCTATCTGTCGTGCCAGAAAGTTAGACGCCTGTAAAACTTCTGGACTCTTAGGACACCTTCCATATTTTTGCCTGATTGGGTCTTAACTTACAGAAGGGCTCTGCCTGTAGATAGAATTAAGGCCAGTATCTTATTTATAATGGGTCCTTATCTAGGTTTATTAAAAGGTGAATGAACCTTTTGGGTAGAGGGCAAAGGTAAACAGCCCCTTTGCCTCCTAGGCATTAAGGGTCTTTTGTGCCCTCTCCAGATTCTCTGGGTTGGGGTTGCCTGTTCCTCCTTGTGCCTGCTTTACTGTCACCCAATTGAGGGACCAACTCTTCCTTCCCTGTTTCTGGGCTGTCCGTTCTTTGTGGAGCGTTTTTGAGTTTTGATGTGGCAGAGCTTCTGGCCTTTTCCAAGAGTTCTGGACGTGGGCCTCCACCTCTACATATGAAGCTGCCCTGCCTGGAAAGGCCATCGCTCAGAAACCATGAATTGGGTAGGGGCCTCAATTATCTACAACTTTGCCACTCAAACTAAGGAAGGTCCAAAGACAAGTGGCATCGAATCAAAAATCCCAATGTGCATATTAACAAGCTCCCCAGCTGACTGCACCCCAAA